GCCTGGTGTCCCTGAACCTGCCCCTCAGCCACACTTGCAGCTCAATGCCTGAGGCAGGGAGATGCAGTGGTGGGGGAGGACGGAGAGTCGCTGGAGAGGCGACCTGGGGAGGAGCAAAGGTCAATTCCAGAAACTCACAGCCAGGGAAAAGACGTCTGTGTCGTCGCCATCAGAGGTGGACACAGTGTGCACTGGCCAGTCCTCCATTGCTCCGAGCAGTGTTGGCAGCACCTTCTCCACTGTTGTTCCCGAGGAGGCGATGCTGCTCCACATCATTGCAGCAGCTCTGTGGAGTCAGAGCTCTGGGTCAGGGGGGCCTCAGCCACAGCACCATAGCCTGGGCAGCTGTGGGGGCCCAGGTGACAGAGGTATGGTGCCTTGAGGGGTAAGGAGGGCACATGGCTGCAGGATCAGGGGCTGACAGGCCAGGGCTGGGAAATGGAGGGACCAGAGTGTCCTGGAACTCTCAATCTCTCTGGCAGACCAGGTGGGACAGGTTCTAGAGGGTGATGGGTTGTAAGGCTTGGTGATCCCTGAGCCACCAAGGCAGCTGGGCCCTGTACCTGTCACATGCTGGGGCACAGCGCAGGAGAGTTGTCACAACCTCATGAGGGTTTGTGTCAGCGAGGCTGCGGATGTCAATGTGCTGCCTGACATCTGGAGACACGTGGAAGGTGAGGCACTGGTGGACGTACCTCACGATGGCCGGCACCTGAACAGGGAGTGGGGGAGAGTTGGAGAGCTGCCACAGTGAGCAGGGTGCCCAGCTTTCCCCAAGAGTACAGCCTCAAAGGCTTACGGGGCCCAGCAGACCTAGTTTGAGGGGCCACAAGACCCCTGGCGGGCAGGAGCCCTGGCCACAGGCTGCTTGCCTGCTTGCTTCTGATTGTAGACACCTTTCTCCACTAGAAAAGTTCAGATTGGAAGCTGTCTTGGGTTTCTGTGGCCAGGTCTTGGTAGCAGGGTTCTACAGGGGTGGCCTCTGTCAGAAGCTGCTCAAAGCTTCCCCCATGTGGCAGAGCCAATGCTGGCTGGCTCCAGGACAGAGCTGCCGCTGGCCAAGGTCGAGCCACCCAGGAGTGATAGTAATGCCTCTGTGATCCCATATTTAAGAGGGGAAAGGAAATTCTTGTGCAGATGCAAATTGCAGCCAGGGAAGAAGAGAGTGAGAACACGTGAACCACAACACAGAAAGCAAGGAGGACGAGGAGGAACTCCAGGTGCTGGAGCTGAGGTTCCCCTGCAGCCTGTGGTGCAGGTCCTGGTGAAGCAGCTGTGCCCCTGCAGCTCATGGAGGAGCACCAGGGTGCAGAGCTCCCCCTGCAGCCTGTGGGGGAGCCCCTGTGGCAGTGGGTGGATGGCCAAAGGAGGCTGTGAGCCTGTGGGAGGCCCATGCTGGAGCTGGGGGCCGGCAGGGACCTGCAGCCCATGGACAGAGCCCACGCAGGAGCAGGTTTCCCTGGCAGGACTTGTAGCCCTGTGGAGGACCCACACTGGAGCAGCTTGTTCCCGAAGGCCTGCACCCCATGGCAGCACCTGGATGAGAGGCAGCCGAGCCCCCTGCCACAGGGACAGCAAAGCCAACAAATGCTCACCTCTGCCATGCACTGGTTCTCATCATCCCAGCGGAAGAATGGGACCAGGCTCTGGTGCACATCTGTCTTTCCCTCTTCTGCTGCCAACTCCATCAGCTCTTGGAAGAGGCGAATGGAGAGCAGCTGCACGTGGCTATTGTCCTGGTGCAAAAGGAGATAAAAAAGACCTCAGTAATGGCTGCTCCAGGTCCACCTGGCAGAGGTCTGAAAATCCCAAGAGCAAAAAGTTTCCTGGCAGCACCAGAGCCTTACGTTGTCAAAGAGTGGCCGAAGTGCCTCAGCCAGCTTTGGGGCAGCGGAGCTGAATGCCTGAAGGTCTTCATCCCGGAGCACATTGAGGAACACTGAGAGGGTCATCCTGACCAGCTCTCCGTCTTCATGATGCAGCAGCTCCAGGAGGCTTTCAGTCAGGCTGCAGATGCTTTCGGCCTGTGTGGAATGCATTGCTGCGCTGTGAAGCTGCACAACAGCTCTGGCGGTGCAACCCCACAGGGCCCAGAGGCCAAAGGCCTGTCCCACAGGGCCTGGGCAGCTGCACGGGGAGGCAGGAGAGCTGGGAGCAGCAGCCACAGCTCCCAAAGCCCAGCCAAGCCCAAGTGCCTGCATTCCCCAGCCCCAGGCTGCCAGTGTGGCTTCAACCAGATGTCCCCTTCTCACCATCGAGGGATCCACACTGAGAACCAGGAGGCCTCTGAGTGCCAGGCGACGCCTGTCTGGGCACTGGCTCTGCAGGTTCCTTGACAGGATGGGCAGGACCGTGTTGTGACATTTTCTCCCATCCAGATAGTCCAGGAGCTGGAAGACAGAGAGCAGTGACGGGGTGCCCGGGTGTCTGGAACCTGGAGCTGCCCAGGGCTGGGCCCAGGCAGCAGCACAGGGCGCAGGCACCATCCCGGGCAGCTGCAGTTGTGAGAGGGCAGAGAGGGGGAGGCAGGCAGGCAAAGCAGCACTTGCCATCAGGCTCACCTCCACAAGGAAGGCCAGGGCAGGGAGCTCCCAGCGAGGCTGGTCCCTGCTGAGCAGTCCAAGCAGGTGGATTGCCATCTGGGAATGGAAGGGGACCAAGACACTGCGCATCTCCCTGTCAGGAGGAAAAACAGAGCCATCTAGCCTGAGCTGGGTGGGCAAAGCTCTCCAAGGATTGACTCCAGGACAGAGGCCTCGATTTTTCCCACCAGCCCTGGACAAAACAGGGATGTTTTGGGAGGTAGCTCCTCCTGTGCACCTGCATCTCACAGCCGTTTCCAATCGGCTTCACCATCCCTTGATGTCAAGGCCTTTGGCCCACACCCGCGGGGGCTGTGTGGGATGTCCCGTGCCCAGGGGAGAGACAACAGGGGCAATGGGGAGAAGGGTGTCTCACCTGGCCAGCAGCCCCACTGCATAGTGGTGGGTGTCACTGCACAGGAGTGTCTCCCAGCCACACTTGCGTTCAATGGCCACCACCTCATTCTCCCACTGAAGGCGGCAGAGCAGGGCCTTCAGGGTCTGGACGGCAAACCTGTGTGCAGAGCAAAGGCCAGGTCATGCTGGGAGCCCTGGCCTCAGCCCCAAGGGCATGGGAGGGATAGAGGACTGGGATGGAGCACCTGTTGGGGTTGCTGGGAAGGCCA